TTTCAATGGGAAAAACAAAACCAAAGACCAAGAAATATTGGATGGAAAGGGCGGGTTTGCTTTATTGCAAATGTCAGCTTAGTAGTACAGGGTCATCTACCCACATCTAATAAGCAAAAGTTTCCACGCTTAGCTTTTCTTTTTTTTCAAGCGAAGATGAGATTAGATTTTGGCACGCACAGAAAGTTGCGCAAGTACCAGTTGCTCGACATACCTGCGTGGCCCGTGCGACGAAATAACTTCACGGGATTGGCAAAGTTTCAGTCACAGCAAATTATGCAAAAAATCTAGAAAGATTTAAGCTTAAATCTCGTTTAACGTTTAAAGCGACATATCAATGACTGCAACCATCGTGTTGTATACAAACCTCGCAAACTTTAAAACACGTTCTCTAGTGATACCTGCGAAAGTATTCAGTATAATTTCCGGTAAGATTTTCGCGGACAATCTGATCGATTTCTCTTACATTGTGTGCTGAGACTGAAACTTTTCACCTCAAGCAAATCTCCGTCGCACGGCCCAAACAAACATAGCGAGCAACTGAGCTATTAGTCTATGTCCGTGTTAAAACACACGAAAGGACTCTAAAGTACACTTCACTCTGATTGGGCAGAAAAACACAAAGATTTTCTGGCACTAATCAGATGGCAGAACGACTGCGACCGTTTGGAACTAGTCTTGTAAGACAATGTGCCCAGGGGCTTTTCATGCCCTAACTTGAAATCGACCCACAGCCCCTGGGTCTTCGAGGATGACTATTGCTTAAATAGTGCTCTTTACTGCGAGGATCGTGCACAAATACGTTTGAAAGCTAGTATCTCGTCCTTAGCGCTTGCACCCTTTAGAGTAGCTGCATCCAATATAACGAGCGTAATATGATCTTTTAGCTAATAATGAAATGCACTTTCATGGTCTTTGGCCGGTTCCATAGATACCCTATGACATCAAGTTAATCCTTTAATCCCTTAGAGTGACTAGCATCTAGTTTCTCCTTACCATATCACCCCCCGAATCACACATTAAGGTCAGGAGAATAAAGGAAGTAATCACCCACTAAAGAAGCTCTTGATTGTTAAACAAATTCTCCTTGTCAGTTCGTTGGGAAATGCGTAGAGAACAGTATGGAGAAGATGCGTACTGATGTGAAGGTGAAAAGGGTTCAAGGCTTATCCTACTTGTAAATCATAAAAGTCTTGTGGTCAAGAAAAATGATATCAGTAACAACAAAAATGTATCTCTTTGTAAGTATTCCCGCCTAAAAAACCTTTTTCATGTTTGACTTGTGACTTGAATAACAACACATTCACAATATTATAATGAGCCAGTATGGATCAAGGAAGTGATTTTTTCCTTTCTCATCAAAAACCAGGCATTGACTAACTAACCCTTTTAGGCAGAACTTAGATCGAAGTCAGGGTTAGATTTCTGATTTTGTGTTTGTGGTGAGGTAAATAATGTTTCTTTATCATCTTGCCTTGCTTTCATTCTCCGTCAAACGCAACCTCCCCCCCCCCTTCTTCCCCACTTCTTTCCCCCACCTACCTTAGAGTAGAGTGGGGCCTTAAAAACTTCCCTAAATAGCTGGTGTAAAATCCGGATCAGTCACACAGATAGTTCATGACGGAGAAAGAGAGGGGGAGAGAGAGGGAGAGAGAGGAAATCAAAATATCACCAGACACCTTCAAGAAGAGATGATATATATTATGTTGAGCATATCTCATATATTTCTCCCAACCACTTAATCCAATATCTTCCCAAAATTTCTATAAAACAAGATGCGGACAATGTGAGGAACTAAAATATTCAGCTATTACCTGATCAGTAATGATTGATAATAAAATGTGACATTACTGAGACCTTTCTTAGAAATACACCCAATAGCAATAACTTAATCAGTGAAAAAAAGGAAAAAAGGAAAAAGCCAATTAGTATCATATAACTCTGTCGTGGCTACACATGCTACAATTGGGAAATTCTCCGGCACAGAAAGTATCGAGAGAGAGTAGCGGAGTTTTGATTGGTAATGTCAGGCGATTCCAAACACTATGTTGGTGTTCAAGTAAACGGCTTATCGAACTTTGACAAGAAAATGGCTGTGTTCTTGACACCTGTCATATCCATAATTAAAAATATTGACCGAATTCCCACAGAAAACCTCATGCGAACCTGTTGCAAGTATTCCATATTTGTTTAGCAATGCCAAGCGATTCTACAAATTACATTAATTAATTTGAATTCAATAATACCGTAATCAGACTGCTGGATAAAGTCTCAATAGACTTAAACGGCACTATAATTCCAAGCAGTTGGAACCGATGAACCTAATACATCCCTGATAAGGCCATTCTATATTTATCGAGAAAAACTTTAGTGATTCGAGAGGTCGAATGTTCTGTACTTGTACCGAGAACACAGTGATTCATAGTATGCCGCGTTCGGATATTTTGTCTACTAGAAAACCAACATAATCTTCGGAATCGCTAGACATTTCTACATGAAACATCTACTACCCTCAGGAAATTTAAAGTAGCTTTTTAGTGGAAATTCTGTGAAAATTGTCCGGCAGCTAGGCATATAGCTCCAGCGTAATTTACGTTCTGATTGATTCCCAGTACATCATGATAGGGGCATTATAGTGGACAAAGTACCTTGTAAATCAGTAGCTGTCGTTTTTATTCACGTAGCTAAGGGTTAGGCATTTGCGATGAGTATCAACTCTAGTGTGGTATAGGAACACCATCGTCAAGATTGAGAGGATTCTTGAAAATACTGGTATCCCAGGATTCCAAAAGGCGCCTGTTACTCCAACATAATCTAATCATAATCTTCTTTGTAAACAACAACCAAAGGCTGGACATGCTGAATTTTTTAACTCTTTGTCCAATATTTCTCCAAGGAATCTTTCAAGATTTCTGGCAGACGTGCCGTTCAATTAATTAGCTTAACTTTGCATAAAATGTAAATCGTGCTCCTGGTGAATGATTCTATCATTTCCCTCTGATGAAGGTCGCCGGTTTGGCTGAAACGGGAGGTTACAAATTTGTAAGTTCTATGCACTTCTTTGGCTACAGTCAGGTTTTTGTATCTTATTATAAACCGTATTGGTTACTTCTCAATGGTGATTGAATATCGTTGTTAAAAAAAAAGACCTGATGTGAAAGATCTGAGTAACGTACGTACATTAGTCTGGAACTGAAAGCACAAATGGCGTTGATGATGCTCTACTCCTTTGCGCGAGTCCTTGCACGCTTTGCCTACGATCCTACCCAATGAATTCGAAGATAGAGGTAATTACAGGAAAACGGCCGCAGGTCCACTTTAAAAAAATGGAGAGTTTACTCGCGACTTTGGCAAGTTTACTTTTAAACTATCGTAAATGCATTACCCTCCATAAAAGGAGCTGTTCAAATGACTGTTTAAATCGTCTGAATTATATCACGTGTTAGGCAGCACTTGCGATCCACACCAGCGATTTATAATTAGCGCTTTCTACTAAAGTCTTACAACGGTGTTTGGTGAAACAACACAAGCGATTGAAGTTCACCACTAGCGATTGAACATTAGAACGGCAACTAAACTGATTTACAATTAGGATCTGTTGCTAGCACTAACAATTGAGTTTATTCCTCATAGGATGATACCCCCCACCCCCCCTCCCCCGCGGTTGACTTTTTAACTTTATTAGTTCGCGTGCCAGGTTATGCTATGATCAATTGAATTAATTACGTCTATTAGTGTTCCAAAGAGCGAGATCATATCACTTCAAAACAAACTTATATAATATACCTCAAATATTTTTATTGATGCTCATTCAAATGTCAGTAAATCTAAGTGTTTTCAAGCTACACCATTTGTCTTCTATGCGTCGTTATACATACATCCCTAAATAGAAGAGGAAAACGATAAAGCTAGGTACCCACAGGTGACAAATAAAGAATCTGACAAATAAGTTGTTTTAGTATAAAAGCTTGTAAAATATCATAGTTGTTGACGTGAAGTATTAGCCTCGTTTGACACAGCTACTTATTTGATATAGAGTATATTTACGCATTTGTGGAAATTATTCAGAGCACCATTGATAAGAAGTGGCTTTTACCAAGTTACTCCACGCGAGGACGATTTAGTTTTTCTCCTTGTCTGCTGATAATTCTTTACAACTATTGCCTTCTTTTAGGGTAAGTTGTGTTTTGACAATAGCATCTGTTTCTACTTTTGACTAGGCTGGTTTAGAAACTATCTCAAGGTCCTAGTGTTTTACGTAAATATCGATCGCAGGAAATATATCCCAATGTGAGCTACTTTTTATTTCTTTTATTTTATTTATGGTTTGGATTACGACAGTTGGTTTTTGGAACGTATGAGTTTATTGTTGTGAAAACAAAGTCATTCCACAAATCCCACGCAGCGTCAAAATGCTCTTGAGACGACAGTTCGAAAAGACCAGAGCTCAATGGAATTAGATGAAAAGCGTGTCTTATAATCTTAAAATTTGCATTTTTGAAATTGTAGACTGGACGTTTAGCATTTGTCTTGTAAACACTTACTTACTCTTAGCTGGCTAGGCTTTCCGATTTTCGGGTACTTTTTCGGTTTCAACGTCAACTACTTTCTATCAATCAACTGACAGTGAAATTATGTTTCGATAAAAGGCCTCAGATGCAAAGAGAGTAGAGTTCTCTACAGCATAGCAGTCCAAAGTCAGCTATCATGATTAACTCAATATCGGGAAAGTCATCTGCAGCAGCCTAACTCCATGTTTAATACAAAAATTTAAACTCATTCAGAACAGAGAATGGAAATTAATCGCACAGGTCAAAAACACATCCAATCCTGCGCCTTCTGAGAAAAAAATTCGCAGTGGATTCACTGGAGCTCGGAAATTGGGAAATATCATAACTGGAGAGATCGGAACTGGATAAGTCGCACAGGTCAAAAACACATCTAATCTCGCTCCTTCCGAGAAAAAAAAAAATCGCAATGGATTCTCTGGAGTTTGGAAATTGCTAAACATCGTAAAGTAGTTAGCAGATGCACTTAGTGGTTAGCTTGGTCCTTAGTTTATCGACAAAGTCACAAAAAGGAAAGGTGACAGAAATTCTACCCGTAAGGAAAGACCGCCAAAGGAAGAAGAAGACGGCCAAAAGGAATAGGAAATAGTCAACTTGCTTATTATACGTTTTAACCGAATGGCTTATAGTAAAATTTCCATTCATTTTTCCGATACCATTATAAGGAAACCCTCACAATGGATTCAGACAAGATAAAGATCTAGTTTTTATCGTTTAACAGTTTTATCGCCAGAGTTCGCAATGAGGAAGACTGTGGTGTTAGTCACATTTGGTGTCCTCGTGTTACTTTTTGCTTTTAACACCCTGGTTCTTCTGTCTTCATGGAAGTTGACTCCAAGTTTGAAACCACATACAACTTCCAGTCAGAAGGAACTGATTTTGCAAAGATTTAAACAAGAACAAACTCAACAACCGACGAAGAAGTTATTCACCAGGTTTGGTATTGAGAAATCAACTAGGCCATCTGTTGGAACCAAGACACTTGAAAAGAGGTCTCCACGATCTAATCTCATTGTACTGAGCCCAGGCAGAGGGGGATCTTCATTCTTAGGAGGAGTATTTGATGCTAATCCTGATATCATGTATTGGTTTGAGCCACTACACACTTTATACCGCGGCATATATGAACTCCATTTGTTCAAAGACAAAGAAAGAAGAATTCACTACAGCAAAACCTCTATCGACCTAATCAATAGCTTCCTCGACTGCAGTTTCACTCAAATCCCTAAAGACATTATATCCGCATTATCTAAGAGCATATTTCGGAGTCGAAGTGCATCACTGAGCGGTGGGTATTTGTGCCCTACAAAAAAAAAAAAGAAAAGATGTCGACCTTACTCAGTGAAGTTACTTAACAAACTTTGTCACTCTTCCAAACATACTGTTCTAAAGATCTTGATTCATCGTTTACCAAACAACACTCTAGAAATTTTCCAGCGAATTTTCCAGCAGCAGAGATATAAATTAAAACTGATTCAGTTAGTTCGTGATCCAAGAGCGGTGGCATATTCCATGGTCAACTCAGTGCAATGGTTAAATGTCTCCAGCGAATCACATCAAAGATTTCGCGACACTCTTCAAAGAGTTTGTTCACACATTGAAAAAAACATAAAACTTGGTTTGTTTTCTCCCCCATCTTGGCTAAAAAATCACTTTCGAGTGATTCGTTTCGAAGATTTTGTTGTTAATACGACAAACATTGCAAAGGATCTCTACAAATTTGCAGGGTTTGATTGGTCTGAAAGAGTTGAAACATGGATTGCCACACATCAGAGGAAACCTCACAAAAATAATGAAAGGGATCCGTATTCACTTTATAGAGACGCATCACTTGTCGTGAACAAGTGGAAAAAAGCTCCACTGAGCCTAACTACAGCAGTAGAGGAAGTCTGTGGTAGTTTGATGGACGTGCTTGGCTACGAAAGAATGATTAAATCAGAAAATCACTCACGTGTAACAACCTGATTATGAATAAACTCACATTAGGTGGTTTGTTGATAGCAGCATTTCACAATTTTTTTTAAACTGGTTTCCAAATATGAAGTCAAGTAACAGGTTATACCCAACTTCAGTTACAGGCTCATTTTAAGCCCAGTTCAGGCCCAACTTACTGATAAC